TAGAATGATCTCAGTGAAGTACCTGGGTGTCACCATCGACAGCAATCTTCGTTGGTCTACACATATTTACAACTGTGTGGGAAAACTGAGACGCCTATCTTTTCGGTTACGCAAACTCAGGCAATTCCGAACCCCACAATCAGTCGTGTCATCTCTCGTTCATCAATGCGTTTTACCCATTCTACTTTATTGCTCTCCTGTAGTGTTTCCCGGTCTTTTAAAACACGACTTCAAAACAGTTCGCCGTGGTTTGATGATCATCAGTCGTGCATCCTTAATTCCGATCGATTCACTAATCACAGAACTCATTGATGGTCACATCAACTCTTGTTTTAAATTTGCTCATAAGATTCTCGATGACCCTTTTCATCCACTACACTCTGATCTATCGTCTTGTCGTTCCCATCCGTCCACACGCTCCTCATTTCAACAGCTACCCTCTCGCATTAACATTTATAAAATTTCCCCCGTACCCTACCCGGTCCGACTACTTACAAAAAAAGGAACAGGTCTCAAATGAACTACGTCAAACGTTTTGTACATGAAACAAATATCACTGACATTCTTTGCCTTTCGCTTTTATTATTATTAGTGTTATTTCTTTCTGCTTGACGAACAGTGTACATTTTAAACTGAAATGTAGGCATTGGTGCTTACACAAGTTATACAAATACGAATTGGCCTAGTGCTAGTGCGGTTACTCCAGCAATTGCAGCGAAAACCCATGGGCCGTGACGTACGAACCCATATCGGAATTGGAAGAAGGAAACTGCATTCAGTTATAAAAGAAAGGGAAGGCTGTGGGACCTGATGGACATCTGCCTATTCTTTTAAGGTGGGCAGTGATTTTCTTCTAGACTCGATCACTAGGCTTACTCCGCAGCATTTGGTCGAAGGAGCGTGGCTCTTTGTCTTGGAGCGAAGCGTTGATCGTCCCGATCTTCAAGAAGGGATCACGCAACGACTGCTCCAACCACCGCAGGATTAATTTAGTTCCAACAATCTTGACGTCTGTAATACGTCGCAGCCTGACACCCTTAAAAGTGATGAATATCCGCGAACAGCAAGCTGAATTCCGACCAGGTCATGGGTGCATCGACCAAATCTTCACTCTGCGTCAAGTCCTCGAACTGCGTCACACACATCGTCGGACAACAATTGCAGTATTCCTCGACCTAGAAGGAGCCTTGGGTTCAGTTGACCGTGAAGCTCTTATGGGGTGGCTTCTTCGCAAAGGAATGTCGCGGAAGTATGTGAACCGATTGAGGTCGCTGTATCTGCACACTTCTGGTAGCGTAAGGGTCTACGGTGGGTAAATTGTGTCCGTCAAGGGTGCCTTATTTCACCATTCCTGTTCAATTTCACCGTAGAGGAAATACGGGTAAACGCACTTACTGGTTTCCAGAACATAGGTATTGAGTGGGCAGCTGGAGAAAAGCTGTGCGATTTAGAGTACGCTGATGACATCGTATGCCTGTTTGAATGTATGGAGGATGTGCAAAGCGCTTTTGACAGATTTTAAAGTTCTGTAGCTCTGTTTGGCATTCACTTTACACTTTCAAAGTGCAAAGTGATGCTACGAGACTGGGTGTCGTCTACCCCAGCGCTGAAGCTTGGTGGTCAAGAATTAGCCATAGTGAACCCTTTCTCCTTCTTATGTGGCTGCACGACGAATGAAGGCAGCGTAGTTAATGAAGTCACTGCCCTCATTTCCAAGGCTCAAGCAGCTTACGCAAGACTGAAATGCCTCTTGTGCAGACGCGATGTTTCGTTTAAAGTGAAAGGTTATGTATACTGCGCCAGTGCGCGATCAGTTGTTCTCTATGTTTGCGAGACCCTAAATTTGCGCGTGGAAGGTATTCGTCGTCTAGAAGTGTTTCACTACCGATGTTTACGTTTACGCGAGTTGAATACAGAGCGCGTGAAAGCAAATCTGAGGTAGGGTGTGGCGTATTTGTAATGATCTGATGGAGAATTAATTGTCCCATCGAATTCATATTAGTTGGCTTCGCTGGTTAGGACATGTATTGCGTATACCCAGCCATCGTCTAACGCACCATGCCTTATTCGCATTCGCGGCTCCAGGTTAGAAGATACCACGTGGAGTTCAACAAATGACGTGGAAGTGATGCGAGAAGAAATGCTCAGAGCCATTATGTAGAGTAAATGGCACGCGTCTTCCAGTTTGGGGTCCAAACAGTCTGCAACTGGCCGGTTAGAGACACTGAAGGACATGGCAACGAACCGACAGCATTGGCGTCCTTGTGGTCATTTCTTATCGAGTCAGAATGCTTGAAAAGAAATGTATGCACACTTAAATTGTGTACTCTGTGTGTTGATCATAGAAGTTCACTTTTCTTGCCTCCGTCCAATTAGGCCCAATCCGTGACCATCTTGTGCTTTATCGCTTAACTTGTGAGCGTTGTGAGCTTGGCAACGATCAGTGAAGTTCACTTCACTGTCTCGCTGTTCGATGATGATGATTCAAATCTGGCTGCTACTGCTGTCTTAGGTTGTAACTATTAGCTTTATCCCTTCTAAGAGTCATTCAGCAGTGTTCCCGCGTTTTCTGATGTGCATCTGTATTTACACTACTTTCCCCATGACCATGGATTATTGATTACATCATTAGTTTTACTTTTTACACCCGATAACCATGCATTTTTAAGAGCCGGCTTTGTTGCTGCCTTTCGGATGCCCATTTGAATAAAACAACGGAATGAAAATTGGAATGCTGGGAGCAGGGTCAAAGAGTAGATAGAGAATTCAGATAGACTGCGGTTGCAAGAATAATGATTAGATGCACTAGTGCCACTGTTTGCGACAGTCAGCCATATAAATCAGTGACTCTAACCACCGGGTACTATGATCCCGGGGTCCCCATCCAGGATGCTTAGCGGTATCTATGTGACCCAGTGTCCAGGTTAGGATTTTCATACCCTCATGCCAGCTCTCAGTTTGATCGCTCTTGGCTTCCTTCCATCCGCCACCTACATCGGCAAACATGGCGACCTATTAGGTGACATGTAAGGCACATGGCCCATCCACCGTAGTCTCTGCGGGTCGACCACTTGTTCCAGTGAACGACCGCAGTTACCTTAACCTGTTAACCTAAAATAAGTATTGATCATCCAGTTTCTTCGTCAGTTTCCCTTGCATTTTGACGTGGACAGCGATGTTCGAAAAGCGACAATCTATTTTTATCCATTTCCGGTAATGGCCACGTCTCTGCATTGTATAGCAGCACTGCTGCAGCAAATACTCGACCCTTCACAAACAGCCAGATGTCACGACAGCTCCCTAGATGTCTCAATTTGGTAAACACTAATCGGGCGTTCTGTATGCTTGCCGACACTTCATCTGTGGTGAAATATAGCGACCCCAATAGCAAAACTTGTCTAGTTCCGCAGTTAGAGTGCGGTTAGAGGCTGGACCAGCCCAGTCCTGTAGCAGCATTTTACACCATGAAGGTGCAAAACGCATATTGAAAATAGCCACACTAACTATTAGACTATTCAGAAAAGCTTGTAACTTACTTGGATATTCGCTTAGCAGCACAATGTTGACTGTATACTCCTGATCAGATAGTCTACTACTCGGAAGCAACCGGATGTTGCTATCCTCGCAAGAGGACAGGGTTGTTTCCATAAGCAAAACGACAAAAGGTAAATAGAAAGGTAGAGAGAGGGTAACTCTGATGAACAATTTCCATGGTGAACTCGGGTGAAAACGTTTTGTAAGCACGGACTCGACTTCAGCTATTAGTATGAGGGGATCGTAATATAGAAATGAAGTTCTCGAGTACACCTTTTATAGAAGAAATCGACGGAGTTTAGAGATGTCGACTGAGTGCAAGGTTTCTTTTAGGTCGAAAAAATCAGAGATAGTGGGTCTACGAAAATAAATTGGTGAGTAGTGAATTTATGGCCTGTACAACCTCGATCAGGTCTTAAATCAGCCTGGTTCGCACTAGTGCACCCTTCATGCGCGGCAGACAATCGGCAGAGTATGATGCTATTGTACGCGCCAGACACGCTTGTTGGCCCACCTGCATCAAAGTCCTCACGTTGAAAGCCCCTAGATTAAGAAGTTGACGAGGCTTCAGAATCTGTACTTTATTTACAGGAAAAATAGTTACAGTACTATTTGGCAAAGACCTTTGGCGAGTGACGACCAAGTTGTCTGAGGGGATATCAAGGGTTGGAAGAAGGAGTAAAGGGATAGGGTTGGGTACGGAAGACAAAGAGTTAAACAAAGGTTGGGATATCTGAGCACTAACCCACTTACCACTACCCACCCCGCTCGATGCAATGAGCAGCGCCGTCCTGATTATCCTGCGCGACGACCGATGCAGTAAGGAATTATTTTTAGTTTGTGTTCATTGGAGCTTCATGGACGGGTACTGCCAGGGTGTCCAACCAATAGGCAGGAGAACCACTAGGGTTCTCAACCAAAGCCTTTAGTTCTGACAAGAACCTAACTGCAAGGCAGCTGTTAAGACGAATTGGAGACCCATTAACATGGATCAATTATTCTTCCAACACGTTTTACCGATTGAGACGCCGACTCAAGTCAAACCCCCAACCTGGAGGACCATGAGACTGGATTTTGTCTGACCTCTACCCATCGATCTTCTAGGCATGGTTAGATCTTTGGCTCAACAAAAGCCATCCTGGATAGCTCATTGGGTCACAGAGGTGCACAAGCCATCACACCCCGTCAAGCTACAGTCTCGTCGTGATGGTGTAAGGTGATAAGAGAGTCCCGCTTCGAAGGCCGATTTGCAATTACCACGGACGTCGTACTGTGGGAATCCGTTCCAGCCAGCATTCTACGCTTCAACAAAGATATTTCGAGAATGAACCACCGTAATTGCCTCGATTCTCTAGATAAGGATTTGTTTTTTTAAGGTTTGCATCAATATGTATAGCATGTTTTTTCCACGGATCTGTTTGTTTTCACTCACACTGTTCCCATTTTGTTTGTTCATTCTTACCCAGGTGGATGATTACAACGAGGTTGTGGAAGATTTCACCAAGTATTTGTCGCCCACAGCAGATGTTCGCCTTGACGACCCATGGGTTATTTTCATGGGACGGAATGACACAATGCAACCGGCCGACGGATTTGATGGATGTATTTATGCCGCACAGTGGAATAATTTCTTCCCCCTACGTATGCATTTCCAAAGCCCGAAGCTGACCAACGTGTACGCCTATCCTCAGGGTGAGTTTATCACAGATCTGTATATAGTGAGGATTACGCTTTACTGGCTTTTCCTCTGTTTTGATGGCACCGTGCACAAGTCTCATCTTCCAAAATTTCCTAGTTATTGGGAATGCGTTTGCCTTTCAGTAACTCCGGTTATGTTCATTGGCTGTCCATTGTATGCAATCAAAAGTGCGTAACTATGTATTTAAAGAGAATGAGGTATTCGACCGAGCTCGAGAAGAGTATCTGAGTGGTCACGGCTTCCACCTAAAAGTCGAAGAGAGAATATGTACTAAGGAAACCGCAAGTAACTTCCTACTGCCAGGATCAGTACTCGGGCCCTTATTCATCCTCATCACGATTGTAGACCTAGCAAAAGAATCAGAACAATACCTTTATGTTTGGCGATATTAAAATCACAACGAACCCTCTAAAAAAGGGATCCCGAGTGATCTATATGGGGTTCTATACCGGAAAAAATGTGGCAAGTACTATTTGACGCTGATACCACCACCTCTTTGCAATCCACTGGTTCTGCTACATCTGTTATTTTGTATTCGAGCCGGAGAGTCATCCCTTATAGGGGACAGAAAAGCTGTCAAATGACGCTTTCACATAAAATTATCACGCTTTACACAGACCTTAGAAAGCTGCAGCCATTGTTCCTGTTCCACTGAAAACATATAGCAGTTCTAACTGAGGTCTCCAAGATTTCAAAGAGTTAAAATAAGATGGAAGCGAAAAATTATTCTTGACTATTAATTCTGAAGCTTCTAAAATAAGATACTCTCACAGTGTAGCAGCAGATGTCGCATCCAGAATAATAATGGAATAGTAGGCTCTAAAAAATTGTACCCGATTAATTAAACTGATTGCGAACCTTGATCATTCCTTTGTGATGATATCTTCTGACTGCTACTTTTTCCGAGTAGAACCTGGCTTCTTAAGTTTCGCACAGCTTAACGCTATCCTAGACCACAGTATAGAGTTAACAGTTTCACACCGGAATATTTGCGGTGCATTCGTTTTTTCCAAGGAACAGAAGTGGAAAGCCTATTATTATTTTTATTATTATTATCATCATTATTATTATAGGCGTATCTTCTAACATATTTTGATGGTTTCAAATCCAGTTTTTTTCCTTTCACTTACTGAACTATCAACATTTTGATGTCGGCTATTTTGTTAATTAACCGTTCCGGACGTTATAATATTTTTCTCTGTTCGAGGATAGATTATTGTTTTCAAAGTTACATTGTACAGTGCGTAGCAGTGGCTCGATTGATTTGCTATTGTAGTTATTCACTTAGAGTAGGCTGTCATGTTCGGACTATGTACGAAGACTAATGCTGTTTTGTACGTATGGTGGTAAACTTGCAAGGAAACCCAATTTGATTTATCCATTTCTTGTTATTGTCCCTAGAGCCATAAAATTGTTTAAAACACACACGGAAACATGATGTGCACTTGCAATTCTTTTAAGCGTTACTCTTTTAAGTAACACTTGAAAATCCTGCTAGATACCAGTTTTGTTTACCCCAGCTCTACGTTTCTCTGTGATACATGCGAACAAAGCAAATCCGACGAACGTGTCGGAATGATAACTTCATACAAAGTGTTTTTATGAAACCTCTTCTTGTCAGGCGCTGATGGAGTTTTCTTGTGAATTTACTGTCCTGCCACGCATCATCATTCGGTTACATCGATCCTCGTTAAACCCTTTTTGCAGTGTTTAGTCCAGTTTCCGATAAATAGCGGTTTTAAGCGCTTTCGTTTCCTCCAACCTTTCTACAAGCGATAATAATGCTACTGAGCGTATGTAGCTTACATTCTTAGTAGATCCTTGTTTAGCCGTGGAATACATTGATTGTTTCAAAAAACGCGACGCTGGAATACCGCTCGCAGTTGGGCTCTATTCCGATCACAGTACAGGCGAGGCGATCGAGCCACAGCATTACTGAAGCCAAGTGTTACACTGAATATTAAATATTGAACAAAGCCCTCCACCGCGGTTCGTTTCGAGCCCGCAAAGCGTGATCTCAAATAGACTTGGTTTGAAAATACATTTGGTTTTGAAACAGCCAGAATTAACAAATTCAATAACCGGCACTGAAGGGTGGGGTCACCCAACGGATGCGAAAAATTGCATCGGCTAGATCAAACCTGTTTCAAGTCCGTATTTGCTGTGTCTGCCTTAGTACTGACTTTTGTTATGAAGTTACAACGGAACCACTGAATTGGTATATGTTGTATTATTGACCGTATCGGGTTTCATTGGTAAAAAGGTATTTTGTTCATAAAAGTAAATTGACCCTAATAGTAGTGAAATTCCTACAACTTTAAGTCATGCTTCGAGTTTTCCATCCCCTCCCTCCCTCCTTCTCCTCAGATGCCGTTCGAGAAGATCTTTGTGGGTTTATAGAGATTCTGCCAACAGCAGAACCATTGGAAATTCGTCCGTCCCCGGTGATTCCGTCCAATATTACACTTCCTCCACTGAATGAAGATGCGTTGCGCGAACGTCGAATTATTGCTGGCGGTAAGTTGCTTTCTGTTCTGATTGCTGACCCAATTTTCTGGTCCAGGTTCTGATAAATGTCTATTCGCAGTTCTCTAGGAGACAGTATAAAGTATATGGATGTAACTTTGTGATCCATCCTGTATACCATTTAATCTGTACAGCTAAACATCATACTTACACGTCTTTGCGACTTCCTGTAACTTGCCCCAGTCACCGTCACAGTTTCCGCCACTCAGAATTTTCGGCCATATATTTCTCACACAAGGCTACAACTTAACTCATAGCTTCCTTCACCAGATGGTCTTTTGTCTCACTTTTGGCCATCTCTCCCTCCGAGAATGCTTTCTGATTAACTTATTTCTATTCAAAGTTGAGCAACAGCAAAACTGATTGATGATTACCCCAATAATTGATCATACCTCAGAAATAAGAAACGCATGTTTTCCCTTGGTTACGTGGACCGTGCTATCAAACGGTTTTGTTGTCTCAAGAAGACGACTGCCATTCATAGTCGTTCAGGACTAACTTATTATTGGATAATTTGAAAGTTTCATTTTTTTCAGTGTAGAACACTTCACTGTGCACAAGTCAGATGCTCGCATAGACACTCACTTTATGACCCTCTTACGTTCTTGGCAAAAGAATCAAGATTAGGATACTCAAATCCTTAACAAGCAGAGAAAGTGATCATCAAGTTTTGAAACACCGTTTTGACTCATCCACGGAAAACTTTATCCGGAGCTGGTACTAGATATCAACAGTAACAATTTGAAAAGTCGATTTCCAGGTGTTTCTTCATTCTCACAGGAGAGCTCTAGACGGTTGTTCTTTCATCCTCGACGGGCTTAATCAACTGTGCGCATCGCAGATAAACTGCATTAGAGTACGGGAATTAGCGAGTTTGCAGTGTGTGAGACTCAGCAGAACAAAATCCTAAAGTCGGGAGTGCTCGCTTGGGCTTGCATGGATAATACGAAAAATTGAGAGAGAGAGTTTAAAAATGTATTCAGTTTTAGCCACGATGACAGCTTTCAATGACCTGTATCATATCTTGCGTTCCTGCTGAATTAACCATGTTTATGTGGCCTGGCCTCACCTTTATTCCAGCTGCATTCTTCCTCTTAAATGCTTTCTCACTCTAATTATGGGGTCAAATTATGACAGAAATTATAAGCGACTGGATAATAATGCCGTTATTGATTATTCTTTATAAATCTGGATCATATTTTTTTCTGATACTGTGTCACAAACGTTCAACAGATTCTATTTTTCCAACGGATTTGTGCAAGTTGACTGAGAAGATAATTTCGTGCACCAATTGAATACACCCTCAATCTGAAGCATGTTTACCCACAAAAGGATTCTCTGTATTAGGTTTCCTGTACAATCTCTTAACGTATTTCTACTGGCTCGTTGTACAAGATAAACCCATTGCCCGAAGATAATAGAGTTTAATGAGAGCCTAGCACTACAGCCTTTCCCAGCATCACGAAAATTTTGGCCGGAACGCAGTCTTATCTTTGCACGATCAAATACTGTCTGCACTACGCAACGTTGTCAGCGCATGGTTACCAGTGGCTTTCTGGGTGCTCATTCGCTATTCACAAAGCCTGATGTCAACTGTCTTGAATCTTGGATCCATCCCTTATCCAAATTACGCCGCTTTTTTGCTTACAGTCGTTACGGGACTTCTGTTGATCCTATCCGTGGTTGCATTGGTCTTCTTCTGTCGGCATTTCACCATTGAACGAGGTGACTATGACACACATGAGGCCAAAGGGGCTTCGCACTCAAAGACGGCTGATATGGCGATCAAGTTTGGTCGAACGGGCCAACCGGAAGTTCAGGGCAAGGAATGGTGGCTTTGATTCCGATCGTACCGAGACATTCCATGCTTACTTTTCAGTATGGTCTCACCCTTGCCCCACCCCACCCTACTCACACTTTGCATGTTCAAACCCTTGTGTGACCTACTTTCAGTTTGAATCAAACAGTCTAGAATCAAAAAGCACGGCTGGATCACTCTTTTTTCTGTGCCCAATCGCCTGCGCACATGACTTTTCTATTTTTCTGTGCTTTGTACAGTATCACGAATTACGGCTTTCTAATCCTTTTTAAATGATTAAATCAGACGTTGAACACGTGATTGGTTCTAGAATTTCATTATTCATAATAGGCGTTATGGTAGCGGTCGGAGATTTTGTATGCACCAAAAACATTTTTGTATAAGGGTGGATTTAAATGAAGACAGTTTGACAATGAAGGCTGCCGAAACTGACAATGTCCGGGATTTTCAACCCGAATTGTACATACCATAACCCATTTCTTGGACACGTTCAGTGATCTTGTTGCATACAGAGCAACAACGCGTCAAACGAAGAGCACCAGCTCTAGAACCTTTGAATTATCTAACCTACGTCGATTGTGTTCCACATTAAAATCAGGTTTTGATCAAATAAAATTATACTTGAATCTTCGTATGGGATGAAATCATTGATTACCAAAAGATTACTCAGTTTAAAAAGGCTAGAATTTTGAATGCCCTCAAATAAAAATGTTCATTTGTTCTCACTTAGTCAACTACCTTCTGAATTAAGACCGGAAATTGTCAGATAAGTTATCAATGTTGCAGTTCAGCATAACTCAAACTGCTGTTAAGCCCTATACCAGTCGATTATAGAAACCCCAACGATATAACAGCTCTTTGAATGACCTTTGTTCATCTTCTCAGAAACCTTCGTTTATCTAGTTATCCGTACATAAGGGATACAATGCAATGTTACTTAGTCATCATTCATGACATTTTGGTTCATACTTATTGGATTTTAGCATTGGTGTTATTTGTTACCAACTATAACCAAGGTATGTCCCAACAAGTAGTAAGTTTATCCGGTCACCAACTACGTGCATTGAGGTTTACAGCGCGGAGTTTGTGCAATCAATGGATTTTGCTTATCGTAACTTGTATCCCTCATAACCTATCCTGGTTGGCAATATAGGACGGATTGGTGAGCCTTCGAAAACTTCGGTATATGATTTTGTAACCGTATGGAAGTATTCACCTTGGTGGTTGGCAAGCGCCTCTGTGCTCCGTAGAACAAAAATTATCCGTAAGCTTACAGCCCAGGAGCGAAAGTTGGTTAACGATGGAAAACGGCTGAGAAACTATGACTAATGGCCAGATAAGATGATTGAATGATGCGAAACCGCGGGAATTACCATTGACTTGAGTTTTGAGCTCATAAGATTATTTGATTAATCTGGCACTAGTGTAGAGAGAAGTCAGCCTTCAGTATCCTCGTTAGGTGAACGAAAACAACTCACAATCTGTATCCTAGTGTTTTACCTTCGGACATTCCAAGTAGGTACCACGTTCGTACTACATGTGTACTAATTCCATGAACCGTTTTTTCGCTCAATGCAGACGTGTGGAGTATAGCTGGCCTATTTGCTTGATAATTCAATCGTGGGCATTTGATCGGATGGAAGGGTTCTTTTTGACCTGGACAACTTCAGGCATGGCTTCGTTATTCAAACCAATGAGATTTTTGTACCAAACATTCTTCATATTTATACCAATCTTTCATTGTTTGTAAAATTTCCTGACCTGTATACCGGTGGATTAAACAACGGGGCTCAAGTTATCGCAATGAATTCATTGTAATCATCACCAAGATGATGGCGGGNGTTTCTACTTCATTCGAATCAGAGTTATTATGACAGAAAACAACTCTACTGAGGTACATAGTCTGTATCAATTCGTATTAGAAAACGGAGGACACAGGTGTGTGATCCACGGTCAGGTTTCTGTCATAGTTGTTCCTTGAGGTTGAGATAAAATCCAGTTGAATAATGATAATTGGCTAACTGAGATTTTCACTGAATATTCCGATTCTTATTGGATGATACGTGGGTGGTCCCGGTGAATGTAGAGAACTTTGAGCTCCAGAATTCTTTGAGACATTCTCTAAAAATCGAATCTATTATGCATGGGCGCTCCATTAGGACTAACTTTATTTATCAATGATTTAAGTTTTCACAGCCATGGAGTTTACCCATGATTGGATTGTTGCAGTGCCAAAGTAGGCTCTGTTTGTGATTCAGTTTGGGAGGCTCAAAAACTCTAGCTCACATGACAGCGGACCGGTATATGGACACCACAATTATTCGGATCGTTTTTCCATTGAACCAAATCCGTTCTACTGAGTCGGCGACTTATTCCAGGAAAGTTTATTGAATCTCGTTCGAAAACTCCTATTTGAGGGGTGTAAATTCAAGGTTTTTCAGCTTCCCAAGATTGGTAAGTTGCAGTTTATTCAAAGCCCCGAGTGCCGCAGTAATGGTTAGAACTTCATCATTAGTTGCGTCAGGCGACAAACTTCTTGAGAGCATTCCTGATGGTGTCGACGACATATCGAGGGAACTGATCATTTTAGGTTGAAACAGGAGTCCGTTATACAGAAGCGAATATCTCATTTTTCAGGTCGCGAGCTGAAGGCATTGTGATTATTGACAAGCAAAGTTCAGGCCAAAACAAGCCAAAACAACATATCGTTTCACTCTCATTTTTTCGTGGTTCATCTACCTGGCCGACAAGATGGATAAAGTATAATCGCATCCAGTGCAGTTCTCTCCTCATTTGTGAAGACAGGATCATATTGCAGGCCCATCGCATAATAGGGCTCGAGGCCTTAGCGACCGGAGAAATGATTTATACACCACCGTGACCTACTCTCAACAAAATTTGATCCGAGAAATGCGATGGACCTGACCGAAAATCCATCATGTTATATCACTTGTGATTCAATTAATGATGCCATTTGACAAGAAAACATTCGTGGTTCTTTGGTACTTGTTCGTCAGAAAACATCTCCTGACATAAGTTGTGGTCCAGAGTTTCCACATCAGCAGCTTGGAATATTTCAGTTGATCCACTTGCCATTCAAAATGTACAGTCCTAAGTTGTATTCGCGGAGCCCGTGAGATTTGATATGGAGATCTGCGGGTTATATTTTCTGCCGTTGGACCTGTACTTTAATCCGATTTGTCACAATTGATTTCATCCATCCCTCTCTGTTAGTAATCCCTGAATAGGCTTAAGGAGGTGTGATCAGCGAAAACATTTGTTAGTAGACACCCGGTGTCTCACCTCTGTTTCTAATGCATTATAACCGTATGCTATGCCTTACCGGGGATGATCAGGAACGTACAGTTCGCCTGGAAACTGTTCTCTTCCGAGAAGACTCTATTACGGATCAGATTTGACACAGATGCCAAGTTTCTTATCTGTGGTGAACCGTTTTGTGTCCGATTGAAGAACGTATGTATCTGCTAGTTAGAACAGTTACACGACTGTAGATAAATGTACGCATCCAGAGACCGTGACAGTTTGTAAGAGAGAGGGTGGTGGCTATCAGTAATCACTTCAACGTCTGATCCATCTAGTCTATCTTGCATCTGTATCACATTGTAATTACAGCAGCAATTTATCTAAACCTGATTGAGATAGCCTTTAATCCAATTTTCGTAGACGAAGCACCACATATGAGCCTGATTATTCGAGGTAGTATGCTTCCGTTCTACCTGTGAGGTCCCGGGTTCTATCCTCAGTTTGGTCGATTGATTCGCACGGCTGATGAGACCCAACCAGGTAGAAACAGCTATCCAGTGCTTCCCAGGTTTTCAGCTCATGCCTCATTAACAAGATGATTTCATCATATAAATCAATCAAGTAATGAATGATTTCCTAATCAATCGACTTTAGTCGGCCTTTTTCACTCAAATTGTTTGATATTTTACTCTTCCGATTTCTGTCTAGTTTGATTTGTAGTTTTCAATCCTAAAACATTTTACATACAATGATATAGTTTATAGCTTCATTGATTTTTCCATCCTTCCACTAGCAAGGCATCTCTTAGAGTTCATCCATGCAGAAAATTGACGCCCTCCGGTGTTGGCAATGCAGGAGTTACAAGAGTACATTTTGACCGAAAATCCGACCATATATTGTCAAGTTTCTTTGCTACTTTGTGTAACAACACAGGAAAATATACAAGAAAAATGATCTACACTTATTTCATTACGTCTCTCTGATGGCTTTTTTAGAAAGTGCGCAATGTACGAATAAGCCCTCAATCAGTTTAAATTTCCACTGATTGCGGAATTATGCTACTCATTGCGGCCTCATCATTGGTGATTCAATATTTGTACAATGTACTGATTCGAAGAACGCATTGACCTCGGATGGAAGGTCCACACCGATATTCGGAACCTCTCACCAAGATATTTACCAGCAAAGGTTATGAAGTCACGCGGAAAATGGAAGCTTTCTACAAAGAGAATGGTTCATTTTGCATAGGCAGCCCGAAGGAAAAAGCGCATTGCATTGTTTTGTAAACCAGTGATTTGTGATGTATCGTTCAAAGTCAGGGGGGTTCATCATGGGATTTCGGAAGGCATTGACGGTTTAGGATTAAACTGTGAAAACAATGATTGCACCATTGAGTGGTTGTGAAAACGAAATTGGTATATCACGGTTGACATGGCATCACGTGAAAGGCTTGTGAAATACGTTCATTTGCGACACATCATCTTTTTCTCAAGTTAACATAACAATACCAGTGTTTTAAGTTTTACCAATTTCTTGTGCCGCCTAACAAACACAAGCAGAGAAACTTATAACAGGACCTAGAGAGCAAAAGTCACTTGGGTGTGACCTTTGATTTGTTTCGCAATGAGAAAGCGAAATTCTGTCGGAATAATCCCATTTTTTGCATCAATGAACCCTTTGAGATGAGAACGGAAAATAGAGTTTTCTTCATAGAAGTAGTTTGACGTTGATCCGGAGAAACTCTGCTTCCTGCTGTGT